CAGCAACATTTAGTATATTTAATTTTTGACAATATCCTAAAAGCTTCATGGTTGCAGCCTCACACCCATGAGCAAGCTATTGTAGAATGTTTTCCTTATTCGTAGCCTCATTAAATGTTTCAACTAACAAATAATAGAGATGGATAATCATTGACAAAGTTGGATATTCTTGTTTTGACATCTCAACCATTGCTAAATTAAACAAAATATTAAGAGTTTTTTTTTTTAAAAAAAAAGTTGACTAAGTCGTTACTAACCTTCTTTAAATGGTGCTAAAATTGAAACAAGAAGTTCAATTTTTTCCCAATCTTCCTCAGAAAGTACATATTGCCATAAATCCAGATCGGTACGAGAGATAGCGTCTAGCACGATTCATAATACTAATGCATGAGCACACATTTCATAAATGGAGTTCTACCGAGTAGGAACATCAAGAATCAGCTTTAAAATCCTTATATTATGTATTGGACACAACATTTTTAACTTTTTACGATGTATCTTTGATCCTCTAATACCTTCGATTAATGCATGTAACTAAAAAAAAAAATTTAATTTCACCAAATGCATTTATTTGTCAAAAAAAAAAAACTCGAATAAATAAAGTAACAACCATTTCTAATTCCTTTCCTATATCATTAAAAATACTTTGTACTGCAAGATTTAGGATATGAGTGAAGCATCGTACCGATTGTTGTTTATCATCAAATTGAATACTAGCTGATGAAATAAAGTCAGAAAAGTCTTGTAAAAATCTATCATTAAAAGTCACATTATCATGTGTAATCACCATTATTTTAGAAATAATTCTCATTGATTGAAGACAGTTTTCCATGGAACTAGCTATTTCAGCACCTGTATGTTGCCCATCCATGTGAATAAAATCGAGTAAAAGATGTTTTATCGACCATGATGCATCTAGGTAATGTATGGTAACTGATATGAATGATTTGTCATTATTATAGGTTGTCCAAATGTCTGTCGTGATTGATATGTGCCCAGGAACTTCTTGCAGTTTTTTTCGAAGTCGTTCATGTTCTTCTTCGAAATTCCTAGTTATGTGCCTTTTTATTGTATCTGATGATAGTGCTAAAAAAAAAAATAAATTAAATAAATTAAAAATTAAAAAAAAATATTAAAAATAAATAAATAAATACCTATTGCTTGGGGTTCCAAATATTCGAATATTTCTCTAAGGCCATCATCTTCAATTATATGAAATGACTGGTTATGTTTAATAATCTATTGTTTAATAAGGTCAATAAATTTCTTAGAATCAAAGGGTTCACGACCTTGACCTGTAGCCTAACAATTTATATATAATATGTTTCAAAAAGCTACAAGGTATATTGTATGTACTTTTTTTTTTTTTAACTTACGGCTTTGCTTTTAAGCATATCTAAAACAGATACATTTTGCGGTAGCTCTGTATTCAGTTTATTTGATCCTTTTAATTCTGGTACCTTGTTTTTATGTAGGCGAATGAGATGTCTTCGGAAGCTTCATCCTTACGGATTTTAAAACTATTACCACAATGATCACATACTGCCATCAATACAATTAATCCTTTTTTATTTTTAATGTTTTTTTTCTTAAAATGGTTCTATACAAATGATCTATAAAATAAATACATTAGTATTACTATATAATATGAAGTTAACACAGTACTAAGTTTTGAATAAATTACTTATTAGTTGCGTTAGTTTCAATCGAAGTTAATGATTCATTATTCACAAATTCATCTGAACCGGTCATATTTGCTGGCTCCTGAGAAGCATTGTTATTAAAAAGTTCATCATGAGGTTCGTTATGAGGTTCATCGTGAGGTTCGTCGTAAGGTTCATCATAAAATTCATCATAAGGTTCACCATATAGTTCATCGCAAGTTTCTTCATAAATGCCATTATATGGCATCGCACTTGAGCTCGATAAAGAAAAACGGGAGGCAATGTAATAGAAAAAAAAAAAAAACACTTTGGCTAATGTAGTATGCCAATTCGTGTAAAAAAAAAAAAAAAAAAAAAAAAAAAAACGATAAAGTAATAAATATGCGATTGTGCTACAATAACTTTTTTTTATAAACCGAGTTGGTCCAGGTACTATCGGTTCGGGTCTCTCTCATGATCCAACTCAGTCGGATTCAAAAATTCATGGTTCGACCTGGCCCGAAAGGCTGGGTCTGGGTCGGGTTCGGGGTCGGGTTCGGGTCTTCAGTTCGGGTCTGAGAAACACTATATGTGATAAACAATAATCCTTCCAAACTTGTTGTTTTAGATTATCATTGTATCCTCGTGTGTTGTGTGTACATATTGATAAGTGTAATGGTTTATATA